CCCCAAAACCCCAAAACCCCAAAACCCCTGGATACAGTATTCGGATGAAATGTAGATTCAAGCATAAATGATTAATCCACTCACTCAGTAAATATTTGAATTATGAATCAATAATCTAATAGAAATTAATATCAAAATCAATTCATCTGCTTCATATCCTTTTAAATTAAAGATAATTATTAGGTTAGTGTAATTGGTGTTCTATTGTAGCTTTTACTCTCTAAGAAGTGTAGTCAAACTTTGATTACTTTAAGAATTCAATAATCCTTTCTATTTTACCGCAAGAGCCAACATATATTACTACAAAGACGATATTCTGATAAGAGTAATATCTAACAGCTAGATCTTATTGCTCTATCTTGAGTCCATTTGTATAATTAATCTACTTCTCTAAGAATAAAGCATCTCTATAGTTAAATCCGACAGGAGGATGGTCAATCCTTATAAGATCAGTATGAGTATTTCTCATCATTGGTACATTATATTGAATCATTACGAAGTCATACTTTTACAAACTAGCTTTGAAACTCTTAGGTAGTTACTTTTCTCTCTCTTCATTCAAGCTTACTATAATGCACGATTGATTAATATCTAAGCCGTATCTATACACCTTTTCATGCAACTCAAAAGCAGCTCTACCTCTATTAGTCACATTGGGATATACTAGCTCGATAACTTTTTCCTGGATAAAAGATTACTCTTGAGTATGCATTAAAATCGGAGCATCTGGCTTGTTCTCAAGCTAGGTTACGAAAAAGTCTCTAAAATGATTGACCTAAATGCTTGCAGGGCAGCATGCAATCAAGATAACTAATTAATTTCTCTCCTTTTCCTTCACTATTTGTTCTAAGATCTGAACCAGTTCGTAATTCTTTTTGAGGTTCTATACTTTCCTCTTGTTATCATATTTGAGAACAGACTACTAGCAAGTAAAACATTTTTAATCTAGTGCAATTTCTAATTGGGATATACAATCACGGCAGAAAGTATGACCGCAATCTAAAAGTATTGGTACTTTCCTACCATCTACTTCATATCCCTCTGAGCATATGGTGCATTCAGGTACTATGGAATCCATTTATATCTATATATTTGTTATTTAATTATTGTAAACAACAAATTTTATCATTGATATATTACGCGGGGTTTTGGGGTTTTGGGGTTTTGGGG